CTTTTTCACTGGAATCAGTTTTTCAATAGACAACGATAAAAACCTCCAAACAGAGCACACCCAACGCTTCGTAGGTATTTCGTTTTCCTTTTTCGATGGATTCCACTCAATGTAGTTTGAATTACATTTGTACTTAGCCTCACAGAGCTCCTTTGGGAGAAGGCTGGCAAATTCTGCTATGTCAAACACCTTGAACAAAAAGGACTTTTTAATTTGTGAATCACTTTTAAAATTAAAAATTTGAAGCAGTCTGTGATGCATAAAGAGTGATTTGGAATGGGGCACCAACGCACTGTTTTCACTATTGAACACTCGTTGCGACTGATCGAAAACACGCAAATTTCCATCTTCTGTTAACAGGAGAGGCAAGCCTTCCAAACGTTCATAAAAGCTTTCGTAATCTTTACAATATTCGAGCACTATCACCAAGTTGACTACTTTTTGAAAGAGCGTCTTCTCCAACGCCTGAGGAAGACGGCTTACCCTGCACAACTTATATCCAGATCCGTATGTGGCAAAGAATCTGATGACGTTCAAAGGGGTAATCTCGCTAACGGGAACTTTCGACATTTGAAATGAATTGGATATGTCAATTGGCATGAACACCAAGTTGAATCCCAAAGTTAGCAATATCTCTCGCAATCTAAGGCGTATTTCGACATCCTTAGAGTTCTGACTTTTCCAGTCTCCTGTTGTCGTCCTTATGGTCTCCGTCTTTGGCAGATTATCAAAAAAAGCCTCTTTTGGACCTTTTCCAGTGGGTGGCAGCCACTCGATTATAATCATGTTTTCCCCTTTGCCTTTTTCTGCACTGCTTTTCCTTAAGACTGGTAAAAGACATGTACCTCTTTTGTCCATCTCTAGGTACACTTCAGAAGCTAATTCCTTCCAAGGGGATTCGCACCTACTCGGCAAAGGGAAATAGTGCGCATACTGCGAAAGCATATGTTCGGCATCTTCTCGGCTTTTTTGCAGAAACGTCTTGCTCTCAACTATCACCATTAATGACTTGTATTTCCTAACCTCATCCAACARCTCAACATAGCATGACGCAACTACATTCTTTAGAAGAGTTTGGTTCCATATGSTTCGATAATCTCCTTTCTCATTTGTCCAAAGACTTCTTCGTGCCTCGTGATCAAGAGCAAAATGACCATTTAAATGAGCTGGCAASCCTGTTRGAAATGGTAAAGGAAGGAAACAGAAGGCATTTCCCGTCATYTCCATTGGTTTGTCAATCATTACAGCTACACCACCACGTGGAAGCAAACCCAAATTGCCTTTGTGYTATGCTTCATGAATTTCCTGCGGTAAGAAAGAGTCCTTTGAAAATCCAATTTGCTGGCTGACRAGCCATTTTTGGCATTCGCCTTCACTATCAGTTAAATCTAAAACATAGGAAACCTTGGACAATGCGACATCATCAATAGTTAAACTTCCGTTGCAAAGGCTATCACTGATATGTTTGACATATGATGTAAAAGCATCSCGTTTCATTGTATCTTCCTTTGACAAAGACACTCTGACATGATAACGTTCGACCAGTGATCCTGATTCGTCAACATCAGAAATGGAAATCTCGTTTATGCTGTTAACAAAAAGCAGTGTTTTGAGAAGTTCCCCCTTGAATTCTTCCAAAAGTTCGTCTACCTTTTTGATGTCCATTGGCAAATCACAAATTCCTGACGTTTCTGCCATTTCTWCAGTACGTAGAGGGAAKCGGAAGATTGTWCCCTMGTCAAATTGAAGTTGCTRCTCAAGGAAACAGGGGAAAACATCTGTGAATCGTTGTCTCAGATAGGGTAAGTCATCATACCTTCTTCCAGGGTACTGTTCGGTGGCCAAAGGAACATATTTCATGTTTGGATCAAATATGCACATAACTTCTCCAATTTCGTCTCCTTTTGATAGAAAAGATGGTGCATCTGTCAGGTGATAAACTGCATTYAACCCGACACCGTACTGGCCAGTCTTATTTGGYTCTTRTCCTTTGCTRCCTTCGCCAAGMTTCTGTATTCCTTTGATATCAWTATCTSTAAAGGGGGCATCGTTGTATACACAAAGTGCTGGCCCTTGCAGAGGTTTCCAGCTTTTCTCAAACACCCGTTCAGTGCGATGATGGCGTGGATCTTTAATAAAACATATCTTGCTTGCTTTAGCATCGTCCGCGTTCTGAACAAGCTCTTTCATGACAGAGCTATCGCAAGGATAACCTGTSAYAATTCGTTTCAGTCTGTTTGTSAGTTTTTCCWTCTGACCAAATTCAATCCCAYACGAGRYGRTTRGYAGAGCAWGCTGTCGTCGTGWATTCACTCCAARCCCAAGACAGACTTTTGGAGGAATTTTCTCATTTGCATAAAGGATYCCTTCTTCGTCAGYCATCCAGTAACAATCTTTGATACATACATTTCCAGAGGGTCTCATAATGCTGTTTGAGTCTGGCAGGTAAATCGTCCCATATTTACTCTGTGAATCACTTGGGCTTATTTCCTCCTTTGTTGTCAGGCACTCAATTTCACTAATAATCTCTACCACTTTCGGTAGGTGCTCTGCAACTGATGAGTCTTTGTACTGGACGAAAACATTTTCTAGAGTGCTTACGTAGTCTTGGATCTGAAAAGACTCCTGTACACCAACTCTCTTGAYGAGACCAGAAAACRTATCACTAAATWGTGGTAGRACCTGGGATAGGTAAGGCTCAAACGTTATCGTGCTTGAAAATGCTACTTGCCTTGSCATCAAAAACGATTTCCTTCCAAGTATAAATGGAATTTCCGASAGAAATTCAACCACATCTTCTCCACTTTCATTTAGGCAATTCTGAAATTCACRGTAAAGATMTACACAAGCATTTGAAAATTCCTGAAAMACTTCAGAGGTCTTATGTTCCATGCTGTTTCCCGACTCAATRARACTAAGCATCTGTTCRTTTAGTTGGTGAAGTGASACCGATTTCTTTAAGCCCAGAAAGTYRRCAGTCRCRGACGTAAGCGATCCACATCCACATGGTTCGTCATTCAAAATCGGCGATGAAGTTCCTACTAAGTACCTCATTTCACTTAGATGAAGATCCTTCGCTGACAGGAAACTATCTCGCATATAGTCATCACCTTTCCATTTGCAGGGATATGCGTTCGGTCGCATCAYAAATGGAAGAAAAGCAATTTTTTGRAAATRATTTTTCACAGCTTCCTCAACTTGTTCACCGACGACAATTTTTGTGTTGATAAAATCYATCAGCTGTCTGGTTCTTGTTATSGCCTTTTCYTAGGATTCTAGGGCTTTAACACTTTTGGCTCTATCAACGATTTCTTCCCAATCAAGATCATCTTTACGCATACCCAAGGTTTCCAATTCGAAWAGGRGRTGTGCAGTACAGAACMTATCACCATAAGGAAACTTCCCATCTTTCGKCTCGTARAAAASGGCAGCTTTCCCGTTGGGATGAATCAATTCTTTGGGATACTTRAATTGATTTCCTGACGGCGAGSAGGGTATACAGCGGRATRCWCGRACTAGAGATTGAAGAATCRCCGAGTGATCATCAAGAGCATAAAGAACAAGCCTGTTCCTTTGACTTTCKTCTAATAAATCAARATGAGCGAACACCACTTCACGAAAAAAACGGTTTTTGGCATAGCAGGAAATRTGCAAGCGAGGCTCAAGACCACAACATTTAAATGTATGGAAAACAGCTCGAGGCATGTCAATAACAAGCTTTGATTCAGGTGAAACGAATTTGAACACGTCAAAAGCAACACTGCCAATGTTTTCATCGCTTTTAAAGGATGGATCCAGAAAGATAATGTTAT